CATTCCGTGTGGACATGGCCAGGGAAAGGGAGGGGGGAAGAGGGCCCGGGGCTGATCCCCGGCAGCTCCATGCACTGGGCATCCCAGGGCTGGCCGTGCCTGTTGTGCGCAGGGCTGGGCTGTGTTCTCCGGCCTCTCCTGCAGCCTCTGAGCTCTGACCGTGCTCACTCTTTGCCAGATCCAGGACGGGACCGGACACAAGACCGTGCCCATGGACGCTTCCGCAGGGCAGCTCAGGTACCTGCAGCCATCACCTCCTGGGCTGGGCCTGCTGTCACTGCTCAGCCTGGCCCTGCTGTCAGAGCTCTCCATGACACATCCCTCTCTTCCCTGCTCTTCGTTCTCCTGCAGGCTTGTCTGACATCCCTAGCCATTCGGCGTAGAAAGACCAGGATCATGCCAGCTGAGATCATGGCACAGCCGGACCCCACGCCGAGTGAGCTCAAGCCAGACCCTGATGTCGGCACCGCGTCGACTGACGGCACAGGAAACTGTGACAGCGCGGTGACCGATGACGGGACAGACTCCAGCATGGCGCTGCCTGAGCTCCCCACGGAAGCTGACGGGGCAACCACTGAGGGCATCGCAGACGCTGAGAGCACACCCGTTCAGTGCCTGCTCGATGCCCCCAGTCTGGACGTTCTTGGGGACGGAGCTGTCTCTGCTCAAGTAAGCAGCCTGCGGGCAGGGACTGTGTGGCCCCTCAAGCTGGGTCTGCTGGGCCCCTCAGCCTTTGAGGCCAGCAGAGTGTGGTGGGAAGGGAAGCACTTCTCGGGGGACAGTGGGCAAATTGCTCCTTCTGGTTGCCCTCCCCATGTGCCCCCTCCAGGCCTGTGAGTGGGACTTGTTGAACTGGAGCTTTTCCAAGGCATCTCAGTTCCTGAGACAGGTGCCCTCGAGGCCAGAGCATGGGACTTGATGGGCGTGAGAGTTCCCAAGTCTTCTGTTGCAGGAGCCTTCAAGGCACGGCTGCAGGACTTGGTGACCCAGAGATTTCTGTGCCATGTCTCCTGCAGGAAGCCACAGAGCCAGACAGAGGCATGGAGCAGAGACCTCCCAGGGTGCCCAAGCAGGCCTGGGTGAAGGAGGCTGAGGAGGAAAGCTCTGGGCCTGCCCCAGCACAGCAGCCTGAAGAGGTGGAGCAGTGCCAGCCCCTGCAGGAGGGTGAGTGGCAGAGCTGGGCCACAGGGCTGGTGGCTGCAGCCAGATGGGCCTTACCCCATCCCATTCTGTGTGGACATGGCCAGGGAAAAGGAGGAAGGAGAAGGCCTCGGGCTGATCCCCGGCAGCTCCATGCACTGGGCATCCCGGGGCTGGCCCTGCCTGTGGAGCACAGGGCTGGGCTGTGTTCTCTGGCCTCTCCTGCAGTCCCTCAGCTCTGACCGTGCTCACTCTTTGCCAGATCCAGGACGGGACCAGACACAAGAGCAGGACCGTGCCCATGGAGGCTTCCGCAGGGCAGCACAGGTACCTGCAGCCATCACCTCTTGGGCTGGGCCTGCTGTCACTGCTCAACCTGGCACTGCTGTTGGAGCTCTCCATGGCATAACCCTCTCTTCCCTGCTCTCCATTCTCCTGCAGGCCTTTCTGACACTCTTGGGAATTCGGCGTAGAAAGGCCAGGATCATGCCAGCTGAGGTCATGGCACAACTGGACCCCACGCTGAGTGAGCTCAAGCCAGACCCTGATGTCGGCACCGCGTCGACTGACGGCACAGGAAACTGTGACAGCGCGGTGACCGATGACAGGACAGACTCCAGCACGGCGCTGCCTGAGCTCACCACGGAGGCTGACGGGGCAACCACTGAGGGCATCGCAGACGCTGAGAGCACACCCGTTCAGTGCCTGCTCGATGCCCCCAGTCTGGACATTCTTGGGGACGGAGCTGTCTCTGCTCAAGTAAGCAGCCTGCGGGCAGGGACTGTGTGGCCCCTCAAGCTGGGTCTGCTGGGCCCCTCAGCCTTTGAGGCCAGCAGAGTGTGGTGGGAAGGGAAGCACTTCTCGGGGGACAGTGGGCAAATTGCTCCCTCTGGCCACTTTCCCACATGCCCCCTCCAGGCCAGAGAGTGGGACTTGGTGAACTGGAGCTTTTCCAAGGCATCTCAGTCCCTGTGGCAGTTGCTCTCGAGGCCAGAGCATGGGACTTGATGGGCCAGAGATTTCCCAAGACTTCTGCTGCAGGAGCCTTAAAGGCATAAATGCAGGACTTGGTGACCCAGAGCTTTTCCATTCCGTGTCTCCTGCAGGAAGCCATGGAGACCGACAGAGACACGGAGCAGAGACCTCCCAGGGTGCCCAAGCAGGCCTGGGTGGCGGAGGATGAGGAGGAAAGCCCTGGGCCTGCCCCAGCACAGCAGCCTGAAGAGGTGGAGCAGTGCCAGCCCCTGCAGGAGGGTGAGTGGCAGAGCTGGGCCACAGGGCTGGTGGTTGCAACCAGATGGGCCTCACCCCATCCCATTCCCTGTGCACATGGCCAGGGAAAGGGAGGAGGGAAGAGGGCCCGGGGCTGATCCCCAGCAGCTCCATGCACTGGGCATCCCAGGGCTGGCCCTGCCTGTGGAGCACAGGGCTGGGCTGTGTTCTCTGGCCTCTCCTGCAGCCCCTCAGCTCTGACCACGTTTGCTCTTTGCCAGATCCAAGCTGGGACAGTGATATAGACACTGACAGCAGGCCTGCTCAGAGCGGGAATGAATCTCCTGCTCCGGATGTTTGTGAGGAGAATGGTGTCTCTGATCCAAAACAAGTAAGCAACCTGCGGCCAGGGCTCAAGCTCCCTGGGATGGTGTGGCCCCTCTAGCCAGCTCCCCTGGGCCTTCTCAACCTTTGAGGCCAGCACAGTGTGGTGGGAAAGGAAACACTTCTCGGGCGACAATGGGCAAATTGCTCCCTCTGGCCACTCTCCCACGTGCCCCCTCCAGGCCAGAGAGTGGGACTTGGTGAACTGGAGCTTTTCCAAGGCATCTCAGTCCCTGTGGCAGGTGCCCTCGAGGCCAGAGCATGGGACTTGGTGGGCCAGAGAGTTCCCAAGTCTGTTGCAGGAGCCTTCAAGGCACAACTGCAGGACTTGCTGACCCAGAGCTTTTCTGTGCCATGTCTCCTGCAGGAAGCCATGGAGACAGACAGCAGCATGGAGCAGAGACCCCCCACGGTGCCCAAGCAGGCCTGGGTGAAGGAGGGGGATGGGGAGGAAGGCCCTGGAGCTGCTCCAGCACAGCAGCCTGAAGAGGTGGAGCAGTGCCAGCCCCTGGAGGAGGGTGAGTGACACAGCTGGGCCACAGGGCTGGTGGCTGCAGCCAGATGGGCCTCACCCCATCCCATTCCCTGTGCACATGGCCAGTGAAAGGGAGGGGGAAGAGGGCCCGAGCTGATCCCCCGCAGTTCCATGCACTGGGCATCCCGGGGCTGGCCCTGCCTGTGGAGCACAGGGCTGGGCTGTGTTCTCTGGCCTCTCCTGCAGCCCCTCAGCTCTGACCACGTTCGCTCTTTCCCAGATCCAGGCTGGGACAGCGGTGCAGACACCGACAGCAGGTCTGCTCAGAGCGGGAATGAATCTCTTGCTCCAGATGTTTGTGGGGAGGATGGTGTCTCTGATCCAAAACAAGTAAGCAGCCTTTGGCCAGGGCTCAAGCTTCCAGGGATGGTGTGGCCCCTCTAGCCAGCTCTCATGAGCCCCCTCAACCTTTGAGGCCAGCACAGTGTGGTGGGTAGGGAAACAATTCTCGGGGGAAACTGGGCAAATTGCTCCCTCTGGCCACTCTGCCATGTGCCCCCTCCAGGCCAGAGAGTGGGACTTGGTGAACTGGAGCTTTTCCAAGGCATCTCAGTCCCTGTGGCAGGTGCCCTCGAGGCCAGAGCATGGGACTTGATGGGCCAGTGCGTTCCAGGTCTTCTGCTGCACGAGCCTTCAAGGCACGACTGCAGGACTTGGTGACCCAGAGCTTTTCCGTTCCATGTCTCCTGCAGGAAGCCATGGAGACAGACAGAGACACGGAGCAGAGACCTCCCATGGTGCCCAAGCAGGCCTGGGTGAAGGAGGGGGATGAGGAGGAAAGCCCTTGGCCTGCCCCAACACAGCAGTCTGAGGAGGTGGAGCATTGCAAGCCCCTGCAGGAGGGTGAGTGGCGCAGCTGGGCCACAGGGCTGGTGGTTGCAGCCAGATGGGCCTCACCCCATCCCATTCTGTGTGGACATGGCCAGGGAAAGGGAGGGGGAAGGAGGGTCCGGGGCTGATCCCCCGCAGTTCCATGCACTGGGCATCCCAGGGCTGGCCCTGCCTGTGGAGCACAGGGCTGGGCTGTGTTCTCTGGCCTCTCCTGCAGCCCCTGAGCTCTGACTGTGCTCCCTCTTTGCCAGATCCAGGCTGGGACAGCGGTGCAGACACCGACAGCAGGTCTGCTCAGAGCGGGAATGATTCTCCCGCTCCGGATGTTTTTGAGGAGAATGGTGTCTCCGATCCAAAGGAAGTAAGCAGCCTGTGGCCAGGGCTCAAGTCCCAAGGGATGGTGTGGCCCCTCAAGCTGGGTCTGCTGGTCCCTGTCAGCCTTTCAGGCCAGCAGAGTGTGGTGGGAAGGGAAGCACTTGTTGGGGAAACTGGGCTGGGTGCTCCCTCTGGCCACTCTCCCACATGCCTCCTCCAGGCCAGAGAGTGGGACTTGGTGAACTGGAGCTTTTCCAAGGCATCTCAGTCCCTGTGGCAGGTGCCCTTGAGGCCAGACTGTGGGACTTGATAGGCTGGAGATTTCCCAAGTCTTCTGTTGCAGGAGCCTTCAAGGCACGACTGCAGGACTTGGTGACCCAGAGCTTTTCTGTGCCATGTCTCCTGCAGGAAGCCACGGAGGCAGACAGCAGCATGGAGCAGAGACCTCCCAGCATGCCCAAGCAGGCCTGGGTGAAGGAGGATGAGGACGAAGGCCCTGGAGCTGCCCCAGCACAGCAGCCTGAGGAGGCAGAGCAGTGCCAGCCCCTGCAGGAGGGTGAGTGGCACAGCTGGGCCACAGGGCTGGTGGCTGCAGCCAGATGGGCCTCATCCCATCCCATTCTGTGTGGATATGGCCAGGGAAAGGGAGGAGGGAAGAGGGCCCGAGGCTGATCCCCAGCAGCTCCATGCACTGGGCATCCCGGGGCTGGCCCTGCCTGTGGAGCACAGGGCTGGGCTGTGTTCTCTGGCCTCCCCTGCAGCCCCTCAGCTCTGACCATGCTCTTTCTTTTGCAGATCCAGGCTGGGACAGCGATGCAGACACCGACAGCTGGCCTGCTCAGAGCAGGAATGAATCTCCTGCCAGGATTTTGAAGTTGTTAAGTCACTTTTCTGCCATTGGTGTCTGTGTTGCCATAATTATTATCATGTCTCATTGCATTGGCTAGCCAAATGGCCAATCCCCTCCTTTGCCCATCAGCCCTTATAAGCTGGGGGAAGTTTGAATAAAGCTCTCTTTGCTGCTGGATTCCTTGCGTGCTACGTGGTCTCTGTCTTCTGGCTTAAGTACCTCCACCGCCTGTCCCTGCCACGAGGGGCGGGCGGCAAGGCGGTGATCCCAGCCCTGAAAACCTTCATAGAGCAGCCGGCAGTGACCCCCCAGAAACCCCTCGAACTGCAACAGATGGCACCCCATGGCACGGACTCCATCCACAAAATCCGCACAGAATTTCAAAATACACTTTTAAATGTAAAGTGTGGAAATGCTAGGGGCTCGCTCCCCCTCCACCATTGACTAATCCTGTCTCTGCGTTGCCGGGCGGGGGGGAGACGTTTTGAACAGTGGTGCCGGCTCCGCAGAACGCCCGGCGATTGAACTGTGCCATGATGCCGACCCCTGTGACCCAGGGGGGCTGAGGCCCGAGGGAGCTGCAAGGAACCAGTGTACCATGAACACAGCAGCAGTGGCTGCGAGGCGCCGGTGAGATGCTGAGAGCGCAGCCTGGTGCGGACTTGGTATGGTGGCAGAGACTGCACGCGAAACACGTGTGTCCAGCACGGAAGACCAACATTTCCACAGTGCCCGCCACGTCTCCGTAGTGGGCGGGCTCTGGCGATGACCCGGGGGCTGTGCGCCGCCGCCGCTGGGCGAAGAGAGCCGAGCGGGCACTGCAGAAGCAGCGACGGTTGTTGAAGGCGCGCCAGCTGCCACCACCTGGGTGTCCAGCGGAGTGGCCCCCCCTCTGCACCGAGGCAGCAACTTCTCTACCCCGCGCCGCCGCCCAGATCCCGCACCTGTGCTCCATACACCAAGAGAGCACCGGGAGACCAGCCCACCTCCAGCCATGAGGCCGAACCTCCCCCTGCCCGTCCACCCCCCAACCCCTTTTCCTCAACTCCTTTTTTTTTCTTTCCAGTCTGACTTCAGGATACCCAAACCAGTTTTTCTCCTTTGCTGTTCATATGTTAATTACCAGATTGCTTCACTTTTACATCTCTCTAACAGGCACACCGTTACCAGCAAAACAAAGAAAACCCAACAACACCCACCCCCCAGCCCAACTCCGCTTCCAAAAAAAATAAAAAATAAAAAATTGGAGGGGGAAGGAAAAGAAGCAAGCAGCTAACCGCAGCGAAGCATAGATAACCTTGCAGTTTTTAACAACTACTTCAAGTCTTTCTTTAAATAAGTGATGTTGTCTCATAATGTAAACCAATTCGAGAGTATTTGTAGCAGTTTTTCAAAAACA